ATCACATAAAAGTCTGATGAGTTGAGTATCATGGTAACAATTGTGCTTCTTATAAAATGTCAACATTCTTGGGGAAAAACATGCACTGTTTCTTAAATATGCAGTTATGATTGAGAATTAAGGTATAAACAAGATTGATAAAAAGTTTACTTACTATCCTTCCTTATTGTAAGCAATTTTAAATATTCACTATATATATTTAAATTTTATTTTAGTTATACAAATTTCATATATACAGATTTAGAAACATAGGGGCACTCCCCCCCGTCTGTCCCTATGCACACCCATGCCCCAACCCTTCCTCCTTCCTCTTCACACATTCCTACTCTTAATTTTTACAAAGATCTATTTTCAGGTTACTCGATGATAGTATAGTGAACACTACACTAAGTAAAAGACTTCAACAAGTAGTATAGAGAAAAAGAAAAAACACTTCCTCAATAGAAGAGACAACAACTATAAATAATTATCAAATCACAAAATGTTGATTTCACCCCAATACATTATACTTCAGGTAATCTATTAGTTATCTCTGATCAGGGAAAACATATGATATCTGTCTTTTGGGAATGACTTATTTCACTAAGTACAATGGTTTCTAGTTGCATCTCCCCCCCCCTTTTTTTTTAGAAGACAGGATTTCATTTTTTCCAGTTGAGTAGTACTCCATAGTATACATATACCATAATCTCTTTATCCAGTCAACAGTTGGTGAACATCTGGGTTGATTCCATATCTTAGTTATTGTGAATTGTGCTACAATGAACATGGAGGTACAGATAACACTTTCATATACAGATTTCTTTTGGTTTGGGCAAATTCCCAGGAGTGGGATAGCTAGATCATATGGTAGGTCTACATTCAGATTTCTGAGGTATCTCTATATTGTCTTCCACAGTGGTTGCACCAGTTTACATTCCCAACCAACAGTGGACTGGGGTACCTTTTCCCCATACCCTAGCCAGCATTTGTTCATTGATTTCTATATGAAAGCCATTCTAACGGGGTGAGGTGAAATCTCATTGTGGTTTTGACTTGCATTTCCCTGACGGTTAGTGATCCTGACCATTTTCTCATGTATCTATTGGCCATTTGAATTTCCTCTCTTGAAAAAATGCTGTTCAAGTCCTTTGCCAATTTCTTAACTGGATTGTTTGTTTTGTTATTGTTGAATTTCTTGAGGTCTTTACAGATTCTAGATGTTAACTCTTTATCAATTGTGTGATTTGCAGATATTTTCTCCCATTTTGTAAGTTGCCTCAATTTGTTGAGTGGATCTTTTGCAGTGCAGAAGCTTCTTAGTTAGATGTAATCCCATTTGTCAATTTTGGATTTGATTACCTGTGCTTCTGGGGTCTTTTCCAAAAACTCTTTGCCTATGCCAATGTCGTGCAGAGTTTCTTCAATTTCCTCTAGTAATTTGATGATCTTTGAACCATTTTGAGTGGATTTTTTTTTTTGTAAGGAGTAAGGTATGAGTCTAATTTCATACTTCTGCACATGGAGATCCAGTTACTTCAGCACTATTTGCCAAAGAGACTGTCCTTGCTGTAGGGATTGATTTTAGTCCTTTGTCAAAGACAAGTTGGTTGTAGAGGCATTGATTGATTTCTGGAGTTTCTATTCTGTTCCATTGGTCTACAAGTCTGTATTTGTGCCAATATCAGGCCGTTTCTTTCTTTCTTTTTCCTTTTTAAAAGATTGATTTATTTATTTGAAAGAGTTACAAAGAGAGAGAAGGAGAGGAAGAGAGAGGTAGAGCCAGAGAGAGAGAGAGAGAGAGAGAGAGAGAGAGAGGTCTTCTATTCCATTGGTTCACTCCCCAATTGGCCACAATGGCCAGAGCCTTGCCGATCTGAAACCAGGAGACAGGAGCTTCCTCCAGGTCTCTCATTTGGGTGCAGGGGCCCAAGGACTTGGGTCTTCTTCTACTGCTTTTGGATCAGAAGTGGAGCAGCTGGAACTTGAACCGGCACCCATATGGGATGCCGGCACTGCAGGCAGCAGCTTTACCCGCTACACCACAGTGCCAGCCCCTAGGCTGTTTCTTTATAACTACCCTGTAGTATGTGTTGAAATTAAGTATTGTGATGTCTCCAGCTTTGTTTTGTTGTATAAGATTGCTTTAGCTATTTGGCATCTCTTGTGTTTCCATATGAATTTTAGCATCACTTTTTCTAGATCTCTTAAGAATGTCATTGGTATTTTGATTGAGATCACATTGAATCTGTAAATTGCTTTTGCTACTATGGACATTTTGATGATGTTGATTCTTCCCATCCATGAACATGGAAGATTTTTCCATTTTTTAATGTCTTCTTCTATTTCTTTCTTTAGTGTTTTGTAATTTTCATCATAGAGATCTTTGACATCCTTGTTTAAATCTATTCCAAGGTTCCAAGTTATTTAATTATTTAGAGCGACTGTGAATAGGATTGATGTTAAAAGTTCATTCTCAGCCATGCCATTGTCTGTGTATACAAAGGCTATTGATTTTTCAATGTTGATTTTATATCCTGCCAATTTACCAAACTATCTCAGTGGAGTTCCAGTACTCTCTCAGTGGGGTCTTTTGGATCCCCTATGTTTAGATTCATGTCATCTGCAAATAGGTGTATTTTGATTTTCTCCTGTCCGCTTTGTATCACTTTGATTTGTTTTTCTTGCCTAATGGCTGCTCCTCTTCTAGTGCAGCTCTCTGCTGTGGCCTGGAAAGGCAGTGGAGGATGGCCCAAGTGCTTGAGCCCCTGCACCCGCATGGGAGACCAGGTGGAAGCACCTGGCTCCTGGTTTCGGATCAGTGCAGCGCTGGCTGTAGTGGCCATTTCGGGGGGTGAACCAATGAAAGGAAGACCTTTCTCTCTGTCTCTCTCTCTCACTGTGTAGTAGAGGCGGAAGATGCAAAGACTGATTCTTAAAAATGTACACTGCATATTCCGCTTCTACTTGTTTACTATCAGTGAGTTCATAACAAAAGTTAACATAGAGGAAACAGGATTGTCTCTCAGTGATTCCGCTTCTCAATGATTACATTAGTTTTTGACGTCTGCCATGATGAATTAGCACATACTTTGTGCCTTATGGGGACAGGAAAGTATTATTTAACAATTTCTGTAGGTCATGGGCCTGGCAAGGAGTGGCTGGATTCTCTGATAAAACTCATGAAGGCTAAAATCATGTTATTGATCAAAGATGCGATTCTGGTCCAGGGTTTGGATTCCCTTTCAGTCACTGGTTGTTGACAGACTTATTGCCCTCTCATGCTTCTGTGTTCCCCTCAGTTCCCAAGCTAACAATGGCAGGTCAGATTTGTTCACTATTTGAATCCCCTTCTGCAACATCTCTGACTCCTTCCATAGCTGGAGAACACTCTGGATTTCTGGGTTCATATGATTGCATTAGACTCACCTAATTTAATTCACCCAATAGTGAAGTGAATAACTAGTATCTTAATTATATGTGAAATTTTTTTTTGCAATGCAAAGCAGCCTACTGCAGGTGTTACTTCAGAGAATAAAGATCCTGGGACGCAAGATTCTGTCTATTGCTGTAATACTGGCTTACTGAATAAGAGAGGGTATTACATAGAAATGACTGAAAATTACACTCATTCCCAAAGGACTTAGAGTTCAAAATTATTTAATGTATTATAAATTATTTCAGACCATCAAGAAGGTATCAATTAATATAAATACTCACATATTTGTTACTGATATTGTCAATACAATTAAAATGGTGTAAAATTTAAAATTGCATATCATGCATATTAAAATATTATAAATATAGTTAAATAACTTCATGTATGTTTTAAAAACTTGGATTTTAGTTGTTTCTTGAGCAAAATATGCTTTTGATGATAATAATGACTGTTATTTGTTTCATGTGATAAGCCGCCACACTTAAGCATTTTATATGCATTTATCTTCTGTCTTTTCAGCAAGCCAGCAATGTTTATATCATGCCTATTTATGATGAGTCAACTGAGGTTCAGAAGGTAGTGGGGGTACAATGTGATTTGATCATTATGTGAATTTAGAGAGTTAGTCCTTTGTTTCTTGTTAGAGGAGGCTTTAGAGTCAGAATTGTATTTGAATGCTGATTTCAGCGCTCACTCGGCAAATTCCTGAAATCTCTTATGCCTCTAGTTCCTAATGTGTAAAGTGCAGCTGCTAACGGACACCTCATAGGGCTGCTGTAAGATAACATGTGTAAAGAACCTGGTATGTGATAAGCTCTAGAGGAAAGTTCTCCAGTACCTCCTTCCGGAGCAGCTGAGTGCACGTGGTTCTAAAGCACTCCAGTTACTCGGAGAGTCAGTTCTGGGCTCAGGCCAGTGCCTCCTTATCTGGTTGACATTTAATAGGACATCAGGAGCCACCTCAACTCTTAGATCTAGGGGATAGAACCCCGTGAGTCTAAAACCTCTATGTGGTATGTACACATGGGTAGCCCAATGGCATGAGCTATCTAGGAGCCTGACCACACTAGAGAGTTTATAATAATAGTAATTGATTGTCAGCATCACAGACACACCAGCCAGTCTGTAGGCATCAACTTAGCAAGAGACTTTCCTGGCACCCATCAGAGGAGCCGCGGGCCAGAATGTTCTGGTGGCTGTCACATTAATATGTGTTTGTGTGCATTGTTTTTGGCTGCTCTAATCAAACTTGAAATAAATCCAAGAGGTTTCTACAGCTCTGAGATGTTAATCCCTATGTGTCCCTCTCTCCAGGCCTTGTCAGAAAGCTTAATTCAGCTACTTTATCTCTCTAGGTATGTGGAGACCCAAGCCAAGGGGCTGTTTTCCTGCGGGAATTTACACTGATTCGAAGAGAGAGCCTTCATGATGACTTCCTGTCTGACCTCTTGAATAGTCACAAAACAGAAGACTCGGTAAAATGTCTCTTCTCTGTTTATTCATGGAAACACAGGGGCTCATGGCTGATTCTGACTGCTGTGGAAGTAGTGTTAGCAAAGCCAAAGATACTTGGATGGTATTGTCTCATATCTATGAGAGAAGGGGGTAGCAATGTGATGTGGCATTGGACAGAGTATATGGGCAACCTTCTGGCATTTGCTGGGTCTGGCAAGTTTTGAATATTTCACTTGAGTGCTATAGTTTGTTTGTGGCAATATGTGGAGTATTCTTATTAAAGTAGTTGATGTTTAGCCAAGGAGGCTCAACATGAAATGGTACTAATTTAAATGAGTGCAGAAAAAAGATTTATATGTAAAGCTGAGATTGCCTTAAAGGGTCACTGGAAATTCTGCCATCTTCCTATGCTGGATTCTTTGTAGATATTTTTACTTCAAAGTGTTAGTCATATTTATGTTATGAACATTTGTTTCTCTCATGGTGGTTTAGGAAAAAAACAAAAAGGAAGTCTTTTAGAAAATGAGTTCTCAAACGGAAACAAGTAGCTGGTTGGTAATGTTAAGATACAGGCCCCTCTATACTTGCAAGTCAGACTGTGATTCCCAATTGGTATTTCAATGTGAGAATTGGAATGGCAACTTCTGGGTGTTCTAAACGTGGCTCTGTAGGGTGAGATCTTCTGTTCAATAGTACCTGGATTGGAATTAGAGGATGGTGTGTACACAAACAAGTGGATTTATTGCCAAACCATAAAATTATAGAATCACAGAAAACAATGCCTTAGAATACCTTTGAAGCAAACATTAAGTGTTTTCACATATACTGCTTCTGCCTAGCCACCATACTGCCCACTCTCAAGAGGTCAAGAGGTCATTGTTTGCATGTTTATCTTAAATAATTCTCTTCTAGACACCGAGTAAATAGGTCCTCTCCATAGTCACTCATAGGCTACTGCTTATTCTGTTGTCATGTACAACTTCTCCATGGTAAGCATTCATATCATTCTCCAAGCTTGGGCAACAACAAGGTAGGAATACTGGCAAAGGTTCCCAAGGGTACCATAATTAATTTTCATATGACTTGTACATTTTTTGCAGTAAGTTCTTAAAATACATGACCTACCTCTTAACATTTCAAAGCTTTAGTTGAGATCTACTATGATACCTTGCCGTTCATATTTTATTACTCCTTTATGTGAACAGTATCTTGCAATGATTTTAAGTGTTGTGCCACTTGATATTATACAAATCTGAACTGTGTTATTGCATATTGGATTTGGTTTCTGTAAAGTCCTGGCAAGTGCTGCTCGTGTGTACTATATGAAAATTTCATCAGCAAGTCTATTATTACATCACTTATACTAGGAAGGAAATATAATAATACAAACTAATTATGAACATGATGGAATTGTTTTAGTGTTTCCTCTAAAAGCAGGTTTTGTATCTTCACAAGCATTGAAGGTATCACAAATATTATTACATTGATTTCCATCATAATGAAAACTACGCATGCTGCTGAAGATTTTCAGTCATACTGAGTTCATAAGAAACTGAGTGGATAGAATTATTTAAGCTGAAAAGGGAATCTCCTGACAATACAAGTAGCCAAAGCAGGGGATGCATTAGCATGTAGGAAGAAAAGAAAAATCAAATCTTCCTAAACACAAGAAGCTAATTAATTCAGCATCCTCATAAGTTTGTGAAATTCTAACAATTTCTATGGAAATTGTCTATATCATAGTTTGACACTATGAAATACTTTTAATGGTGACTTTTTTTTTCTAAAGACATTAAAAGATGAATTGCCAGAATCTGTCTAGTGCAAGAGTGCAAACATGATTTGCTCCCTGAATGAAATAGGCAGAAAAGTGGACAGTACTTGCATTCTCCTGTTTGATGGGTTTTCGTCTCATCGGGAAGAATTAACAAGATATCACTCTGGTAAAAATCTCAGAAACCACTTGGCAAAGTCGAGTGGATGAGAGTAAAAGTGGTTGAACAACATAATCTCAGTAAACAATTCTATCTGCTTTCAAGTAAATCCTCCTCAGTATCCCAATGACATTTATTCACATTTTTCACCTCCACTACTATTGGCTGTGAGGGTCGGGTTCTTGGACCCTCCAGCAATAAATTGAAAGAGACTTGCGCACACACAGCAAGAAAAGGAAGCAGGATTCATTATAGCAAAGCGATTGTGTCCTCCTGAAGAAGGTAAAAGTGGGCCAGTTGATCTCATGCCTCCCATCTAGATTAGCAGCTTGGCTCCCCAGGAACAGGAACCCCCAGTTAATTGTTAACTCCTTAGAATCTACTCCAGCATTTGTGTTTGAGAAATGCTAAGTTATGTTAAGGGTTTCTTAGAAATCTCACCATAACTACTCTGTGTTTCCGTGTTTGTATGTTAGATTGAAGACACTGAGAATTATACCACAGAATACAAAGGAAAGGGTCTTATAAATGTGGAAATCCTTTGAGATGCAAAATCCTATTGTTAAAATGGTATGAGTGACTTTAGTGTTTAATGAAGTGATGAAAGAATAGTTGAGATTACCTGTCATGATGTTCCTTCAAGCTGGTATATCGATTTATTATAAATAATGTAAATTCAGGAATGTGTGCCACTTGGTATTTGTGGAAGTAACATTCCTATCCCCAATATGTAAAACATATAGACAGAAGTAGCAATAAGTATAGGAAAGACCTTATCATACTTCTGGCTAAAATTATCACTGTCCTTCTTCTAGGACTTTAGTTTTTCTTCTCTCATACTTTTCCTTTACTAAAATTTTTTCAGAATAGTTTTCTTTAAAAAATTCAAGTAATTTTTGAAAATCAAAGCAGCCTGACTTATTTGTGGAAACTTTCAGCCTAAAAACTTAATTGATCTCACTAAAAGCTTAATTTATGCTGCCCAAAGTAAAGATTTAAATTTGACCTTCAAATGACATTCCCTCAACCTCTTTTTAAATAAGAACTTTTGGCACAAATATACTTTTACAGTGCATTAGAAAAATTTCCCAGCTAACTTCCTCTCAGTGGGCCAATTTTGTCCACCACACCAAGAAGCAACCTTGGTGAACATCCACATGGAAGCCACATTAAGCAACTGCACTTCTAATCATTGCCTGAAATGCTGCCTGTGTGTGATTTGCATTGTTTGCAGAGAGGGAGTAGGATGTTTGTCCAAGGCTGTCATTAGTTAGTTGAGAAACAGATCACATTGGTTTTGGTTGTCAGCTGGATACAACATCAGGTAAAAATTAACATGAAATTCATTAAAGAATGGGATTTTTTTTCTTCAGTATGTAATTGGTGCAAACCTTACTTGCCTGCAGTTTTGTGGATCACAAAGTAGTTAAATCACAGTAAATTTGGTAGAGTAGAAACTTATTTAAATATTTACACAGATTGAAATTAAAGTGTTCCTTTGAATTACTGGTAAAATAAAGGTGTCTTTTGTGGAACAGAAATGAGTTTTCAAGAGGAAATATTCAGATATACCATAGAGTTTATTTTTTTAGGTCATCATTAATTTGCTGAAGCTCAACTAAAAGAAAAATGCAACTTACAAAGAATTGTTCTGCTTCTAAGTAAATTAGTTTTCTCCCTGGGTTGTGTTGTGGACAAGGTATGTGTTGTGGGTTAGGTGGCGGTGGCGTATAAAATCCCTGTTCCGGACTCTTGCCTATTACCTAGAGAAGCATTACTGCTTCCTCTGAGTCTTAGGTAGCAGAGCCCCTCCCTTTGCTGGCCTCTTCTGAGGTTGGAAAAGGAAATGGTAACATAGTACTGCTCCCAGGCTCCAGGAGAGACCAGGCACCTCCTGGGGGGAGGGGTCATTTGACTGAAAGGTGGGTGGACAGGATTACATGGTGGGGAGGTGTGCCTTCCATCTTGTGGCCCTAATCTAGCTCTCTGCCTTATCCCATATCATTCCTCCCTCAGAGATTTATGACCCTTAATCACAAGGGAGTGCAGGAGGATGCAGATCCATCACATCTGCTGTTTCTGCTTCCCAGTGATAAGGAGTATAGAGCTTGCCTATGAGTTCAGAAATCTCTTCCTATCTGATCTAATGAATCCATCTCATGAATCAGTCCATACATCTCCAGCATGGTCATCATTACTCTGAGAAGTCAGATTTTTTTTTTTTTTTGACAGGCAGAGTGGATAGTGAGAGAGAGAGAGACAGAGAGAAAGGTCTTCCTTTTTGCCATTGGTTCACCCTCCAATGGCCACCGCGGCCAGCGCGCTGCGGCCGGCACACCACGCTGATCCGATGGCAGAAGCCAGGTGCTTATCCTGGTCTCCCATGGGGTGCAGGGCCCAAGCACCTGGGCCATCCTCCACTGCACTCCCTGGCCACAGCAGAGAGCTGGCCTGGAAGAGGGGCAACCGGGACAGAATCTGGTGCCCCGACCGGGACTAGAACCCGGTGTGCCTGCACTGCTAGGTGGAGGATTAGCCTATTGAGCCACGGCACTGACCAGAGAAGTCAGATTTTGAAACAGACAAGTTTATTGATCAGTATGAGCAAAATTGAAAAAAAAAATACCAGTGGAGTGCACTTTAAGAAGGGAAGAATATATTTCATTGTTTTCCACATAGTGGATGCTGATAGACTGTTCCTGAGCAGATTGTAAAACCATCTAGCCTGAGCATAAAGATTTTTAATGTCTCTTTCAGTAAACATACTACTGTTAGAGTAGTGGTAACAGAGGCCATTAACAGCTACACATGCTCCTCCCTGTTCTGTCAGTATATATTCTAAGGCCTGTTGGTTGTTCCTAACTATGCTAGCATCCATGGACTTGAGTACTTGTTGTAAAAGTTGGCCTAAAATGTAGGCTAGGTTATGTAAGGCAATGATCAGATTTTAAGAATTAGCTTCTTAAGACATACGAGGATCTTGCAGGATTATAATAGAAGAACTCACTAGGAGTTCTCCTGCCAGTAGTAGCATCCAGAGAGGATTAAGAGAAGAGGTAGATAAGACATGCCTGCCTTAAAGTGCT